GAGGCCGGCCCGCGCTCGGGCGCCGCCGCCCAGTGGCCCCCAGGGGGCGGTTCTGCGCGAGCCTCGCAGCGGCTGACTTCTGGGAAGTCCCGCGGCGGTTCTGTGACATTCGTGGCGTCAGGGGCCGCCAGCCGGCCCCGCAGGTCCAGGGCTTTCCTCGCGCCTGCTCTGCTGCTGGGCCCGGCCGGGCAGGCGGCCGTGACCTGGGCACATTTGCCTTTCGTGAAGGCGGAACTCAAGGTGTATCCTCATAGGAGAGCGCGCCTGGGCGCGGGCCGCCGGCGCGGCGGGCGGGGCTGTCTGGGGCGGGTCTCTACTGGCCCCAGGACCCCTCCTGCACACTGCGAATAAAATCGGCTCTCAGCTCCCAGCGGTCTCCTGCCTCACGCGCGTCCTGGGAGCCCGGCAGCGTTCGGGTCAGGGAAGGGGAGCAGGAGTGGGGTGTCCTTGCCACAGGAAGAAGCACCAGGCTGCGGTGGGGGTGTGGGGCGTGGAAGGGGAGAAGCCGGGAGGGAGAGGTGCGGGGCGGCAGTGGAGGCCTGGGGAGCCTCTAGGCTCCTGCCGTGAATGGGAAGGGGTGGGGGACCCTAAAGGTGGGGGGGGCAAAAGGACAGCAGCAGGCTGCTCTGTTCCTCCAGCCAGCGCCCCCGGACCCCAGCCGACGCTCCCTAGGGCCACAGCACCTGTCCAGGCCAGTTCCCCAGGCACCTGCCTGGCTGCCCACTGCGTGCCCTCCCGCCGCGCCCCCACGCCCCCTCACCGCCCCCCACCTGCTCACAGGGCTGGAGCTGGCAAGAAACCTCGCAGGCTGTCCCTTCCTCAGAGAGGGCACCGGTCTTCCGGCCGGCTCCAGAGTGTGGCTCCGAGGCACCTGGGTGCCCCTCTGGGGCAACACCCCAGTGGTGAGCAGAGGGGCTGGACGAGGGCCTGGGGTGCCTGCCCACATATATTCAGAGCCCTGGGCCCCAGCCTGCCCTCCTGGGCAGCTGACAGGCAGTCCCTTTCGTCCACTCTGCACGGAGGGCCCACTGGCACCCCTCCAGGCCATCCAAGTGCCTGGCAAAGGCCTCTGGGGTCAGTGCCCAGGCCCATGGGTTGGACAGCAGGGCCAGGGAGGTCCCGCCGACCTCCCAAATGTCTACTCACATGGGGAAGCACCTCCACAGGGGCACCAGGCCCCATCACTGGCCCGGTGGGGCGACTCCTGGCCAGGCTGACAGAGGGGCATCCTGGGGCGGCTCTCCTCCACCCGGGCCTCCCCACGCGACACGCACACCTGCTGAGGATGCCCACCCGCAGCCTGAAGGCGCCAGGACTACTCCCAGCAGCTGGCCTGCCCCGCAGGCACGCTCTGTGGGCCTGCGGGCAGCTGGTGGCAGCCTCAGATGGAGGCTGAGGACCAGGGTCACCGGGAGGCAGGTGCCAAGGAAGCGCAGGGCCCTCCTTTGCTCCCCATCCAGGTTTTCCCCAAAGCGCCGCTCAGCGGGGCTGCTCAGCGACCAGCGACGGCCCAGAGCCCCCTCCCACCACCACCTGTGTCCCTGCGCCCGCTCTGCCTTTACTGCGTTTGTCCCCTGCAAACTCCCAGAAAAGCCCCGGTCCAGAGGCCACTCCACCGGGCAGGCTCCCCTGCACCCCTGGGCCCGCAGGGAAGCCCATCCCCTGGAGGCCGGGGATGGCTCCAAGCTAAGGTCCACCCCCATTCTGCATGGAACTCGGGCGCCAGCAGGCCTGCGGCCACTGGGCAAGGCTGGGTTGGGCAGGG